TACATTTAGAAAAGGAAAAAAAGGACTCTCACCACTCTGCTTCCATTGGACTCTGCAGGTAGAGATCCAGGAGTCTGATGTGGTAAGAATTCTTACCTTTTGCAATTCTATCAGAAGTCCCAGGATCTTTCTACTGCAACAGCTTCAGAATGAGCAGTGCCCAGCCAGTGAGGTCTCGCTAGCTCACCAAAAGTGCTGGTGAAGAAAAATTTTCCTCTATCCTTCAAAGGTTTTTCCAGCCGGTCTAAGAATTAAATTGACATGAGACAGATTAACAGAAGAAAATCAAATTTAATTTTGTACATATGGGAATCACACAAACATGACAGGTTGAAAGACAGAAAGGTAAAATGAAGCATATATGGGGTGTCTGGGTGGCTCAGATGGTTAAGCATCTGCCTTCGGCTCAGGTCATGGTCTCCAGGTCCTGGGATGGAGCCCCATGTCAGGCTTCCGGCTCAGCGGGGAGTCTGCTTCTCCCTCTCTCTCCACCTCTACCCCTGCTTGTGCTCTCTCTGTCTCTCTTTCAGATGAATAAAAAAAAAAAAAAAAAAGAGGCATATATGCCATCCTGAACAAGGAATGGAAGAGGGGTGGAGGTGGTTAATGCACAGGGCAATAAGAAAAGCAGTTGACAGGAATTAGATGTTTGCCCTGCCATACAGGTGGGTCATTCAGATAAAATTTCTCTCTGTTCAACTCTTATTCAGGGAAAGACTCCTCCAATTTAGATTCTTCTAGGTAGTTAAGGGAGGGGCAAAATGTTATCTTGAGCCCATAGGGTATTGAAGGCCTTCAGCTCAAAATAGTCTGCATGCCAAAGTGGCACATTTTGGAGAGACTTCCTCTGAACCCCTTTGGTCCCATACATTTTAGAAATTTGTTGCAATTTCTTTGTAATCCAGTGAATGTTTAACTTTACTACAATGAATTTTATTACTACTCATGTTCACATATATGTACATGCATAGACACGACTAAATAGAGATACAACAAAAGATTAATAGTGGTGTCTTTCTCTAAGATAACAAGTGATTTTTATTTATTTTTTATACTTTTCAACATTTTCTATAGTTAGCAAATATTATTTTCATAAGAAAAATATTTTTCTAATACCAAAAATTATGTTTTTATATAATACAGTAAATTTTTATGACAATAAGATTTTAAGAATATTTTAAATTATACTTGATATAATTTAAGAATGCAGGATAGCATAAGGAATATATTAGAAAATATTCCACCAAATTTAAAATTTTAAGGACTAGTTCCATCTGAAAGAAGTCCAGATATCCAAAAAGTTCAATTTTTTGAGAAAAACTAACTCTCTAAATATTTTGAATAAAGTAATATACCAACAAAACACAAATTACAAAAATATTGTCTATAATGGTTGGCATAGAGAGATGTACAAGCACAGCATGTGTTTGGAGGGGGTGGTATATACAACTAAGTGACTGGAATTCATGAGTAATGCAATTTTTTCAAGGCCAGAGGTCACTAATGGTATTGATTTTATGGGCCCACACTACTGATCTGACGTTCTGCACTGAGATCTGTATGTATAAAGTCACTGTAAAATTTTAAAAGCTTTGGGTTTTATTTTTTTTAAAGCTTATATATATTTTAGATGATTCAAAAGCCAAATGATAGCCTTGTGTATCTTGTCTGAGAAATTAGCATAAAAGTGCTAAAAAAAAAAGTGCTATGTAGATTCTAATAGAAAAAAACAAATACAAATTACAGAATGTAGGGGCGCCTGGATGGTGCAGTCAGTTACGCGTCCAACTCTCGGTTTCCACTCAGGTTGTGATCTTGGGGTCATGAGACAGAGCCCCACATGGGGCTAAGTGCAGAGTCACTTAGGATTCTCTCTCCCTCTTCCTCTGCCCCTCCCACCTGCTCTCTTGCTCTTTCTCTCTCTAAAATAAGTAAATAAAATAAGTCCTTAAAAAAAGAATTACAGCATGTAATACCACCATTACATTTTGATCCTACAGGAATGCAGTAAAACACTAAAGGATATTCAAAAACTATCAAGATGAAGAAAAGGAAGGAGAAACAACTGTGGTTACCTTATACCCTACGTACATCCAAATCAGTAAACAAAGCTCATAAAATCTAACTTATTAACTTCTCCTCAGGTATTCTCCTCTCATCATTCAGACCCCTAGGGACTTTGTCCGGTCCTCCATTTTCCTCATGTGGTTTAATGCAACAACCTCCTTAATTTATACAGTCACCTCTAATCTCCCTCCAATCCAGCCTCCACTCAGTCTCTAGAGATAATGTCACAAAACACAAATCTAATCCTGTCACTTCCCTGCTTAACTACTCTGTCTTGTGTTCTTGCATCCCCTCCCAACCTTACTCACAACTGTTTGTAACCACCACACTGTCACCCCATCACAACCCTCCTTCAACAAATACTCCTATTTTTTTAAATTTTATTTATTATTTGACAGAGAGAGAGAGAGAGAATAAGCAGGGGGAGTGGCAGGCAGAGGGAGAGGGAGAAGCAGGTTCCCCACCCAGCAGGGAGCCCGATGTGGGGCTCGACCCCAGGGTCCCAGGATCATGACCTGAGCTCAAGGCAGACACTTAACTGACTGAGCCACCCAGGCACCCCAACAAATACCAACTTCTAAACTGGCCATTGCAGGTTCTCCAAGATCTGAATCTAGCCTTACCTCTTGCTTTCTCATGTGCACACACACCCTCACCACACATCAGTCTATCTAAGCAACTTATCATTTCCAGAATAGATATTATTCTCTCTGCCTCCCCCACAATGCTACCTTGCTGCCCCTTCTGACTGCCTATCTCATCCCTGACCTCACACTAGTAAGGCTGATTTCAAATATATTACCCATTTGGCACCCCACAAATACTTTATAGATACATGAAAAGCAAGTCCAAGACAAATTGAAGTCCCGTTTAAAAATATAAAACTATAGAGTATAGTAATTGAAAAGTGTTGTTTACATATTATTTAGAATACTAATGATAGGCTCTTTGAATTTGAGAACTAAAGTCTCCTATAGAAACTTATTTAACAAATTTTGTTTTGCAAATAAAGAATTTTGAAGCAAAACAGCAGTTTCTAAGCATTTGTGTTAAAAAAAAAAAACAGGCAAACAATAGTAATATTAGTTTTTCCAACTATCATTTTAAAAGTCAATTCTTGGGGTGCCTGGGTGGCTCAGTAGGTTAAACATCTGCCTTCAGCTCAGGTCATGATCCCAGGGTCCTGGGATCAAGCCCCACATTGGGCTCCCTGCTCAGCGGGGAGTCTGCTTCTCCCTCTCCCACTCCCCCTGCTTATGCTCACTCTCTCTCTCTCAAACAAATAAAATCTTTAAAAATAAACAAAAAGTCAATTCTTAAGTGCTAAGGCAGTTCAGATACAATCTACAATTTTTGAATTCCACTAACAATAATCAGTATTTTAATTAATTAATTAATTAATTATAACGCCCACGACTTTGGAGGAAAGATCCAATGCATTTAATAACATTACAACATAATTTGTTTCTTAGATCAGTTATTTGTTTTGTAAGACTATAATACCTTATCCCCATTGAAAATCTCTATTTTAATGGATATTCGGTCACAGATCAGTGACTATTATCAATCATCTCATCCTATATAACACATTTTCTCCAGAATTTACTGGCTTAAAACAAAACACTTTATTTAGCTCACATTTCTGTTATTTTTGCAATTTGGGGTGGGTTCAGCTAAGCACTTCTGGGCTCATGTATGTATCTGTGCTTCCTTTGCTAGAGTGATTTGTTTTTGCTCCATGTATCTCCTCCTCCAGTTGGCTAGCCTGGCCTTGTTCAAATGGCAGGTCAGCCAGTTTTCCAAGAGAGGGAGCAGAAGCATGCAAGGTGTCTTGAGGCCCAGCACTAGGATTAAATGAATTCTACTGGCCAAAAAAAAAAAAAAAAAAAAGTCGCAAGCAAGCCCAGAATCAAGAAGCCACTGAGGAGATTCTACCTCCACTTCTTATTGGAAGGAGCTGCAGACATATGGCAAAGCACATGGTTACAGAAAACAGTGAATTGTGGCTACAAATTTTAGAATGTGAAAGGTATAGCTAAACAATAGGAGACTAGTGACATTTAAAGTCTGGAAATATCTTCAATATTAGAGCAAAAAGTTAGGCCTTTATTTGAATGCTGACAGGGACCACCAAAGATTTTAGCTCAAGATAGTGACAGGTTCAAAGCTGACATACCTTTTTTTCCATTTTTAATTTTTTTTAAAGTAGGCTCCATGCCCAAGGTGGGGCTTGAACTCACAACCCTAAGATCAAGGGTCAGATGCTCTACCCATTGAGCCAGTCAGGTGCCCCTAAATATTCCCATGAGTTAGAGAGCAATCTAACCAGGTTTCTTCCACCTTCTGCCGGTATTGTTTTCCTACCTGGAATGCCATTCACTTCCAGAATTCCCCTTGACCTAGCAAGGCTCTGCTCAGTCACCAATAACCTTTTAGAAAACTTTCCCACTACCCACATCACTATACAGTTGGCTTAAATGCTCCTGTGCTATTTCTAGCACTCACCCTGTTGCACGTCAATTCTTTGTTTCCTCCACTGAACTGTGAATGCTTCCAGAGAACGAGAATTGGCTTCAATTTATTCCTCATGTCACAGGGAAGTGCTTGACATATGTAAAGCATCCCACAAATTTTACTAAATCAACAGTAGGTGCAATGGCCGGTGGGGGAATAACTTATAGGTATGTATGACTATAGTTTTGTAAAGACAAACTGCTGTTAAATCGCCTTCAGAAGTCAGTGGCCTACAACACAAAAATCACACAGGAGAGCGTCACAGGAAAGACCCATTCTTTACCCACCAACCACATACACGGGATGATGTTTCTCTTTACGGCAAGACCCAAGAATTGCGCCGTGGATACCGTAAAAGGGAGGGAAGCCCTTGGGGAAGAAAATCAGGCTTCCCGCTTTACGGCACTTGTCAAGGCGCGAAAGTGCCCGGCTGTCGGTTGGAGCGGGGCGGGGGGCCTTCGCCCCCGCCCCCTCGGACTGGACTTCCGCTCACCCGGAAGGCGTGTTCCGGCCTCTCCCACCCCGCTCTGGGCGCCGGTTAAGACCACGGTCCCCGTTGCCGGTACTATGGAGGCGCCGGTGGAGGCGGAAGTCGAAAATGAAGACGGCGACAGCATCTGCGGGGATTTGTGCTTCATGGACAAAGGCCTGCGGAGGTAAAGGGTGCTCCGCAGCCAGGAGCGGCCCGCGCATCCCCCTGGCGGGAGCCGTAAACAACAAACTGCCTCGGAGCGGAGGCGGCACAGCCTTACCCAGACCGCACACAAACGCTGTCTGGCTTCCCCCAGCCTTACTGCGCCAGAATTGCTCTGCTGAAGTGCCAGGTCCAGCGAGTCCTCATTCCTTTCCTCCTTGGCCTTTTGAGTAGCCTGGAAACTACCCTACGATCTCATTCTCTACCAGTCTTTTGCCATCCTCCGTCTCTACTGGTTCTCCTTTCTTTACTGATTATTCTTCCTCTGCTTGCTCTGTAATTGTTGGTGTTCTCGGGTTCTATCTTGTCTCTTCTGCTCTTTCTCTTACCTTGACAAAAAGTGGCGCTGTGGTATGTCCGGCAACCGTGGAGCGAAGGTTTACTGCTCTTCATTAGGTTTTCCTCAATTCTCTTTGCCTCCCTTCTAATTTCTCCTTTGCAGAGCACAATGATACATATATCCATAAACTTCTTGAGACTACTAAGCATCATATTTAGCTAACCATTTCCCTCTTTCATGCAGCCCAAATTTATGCATGACGTACTAGGTTCTTCATTCCGCCTTACCGGCTGGTCCCTACCTACCTTTTCGGAATTAACCTCTTAACATTTCTCCATTTACCCTCTGTGATTAGTCATACTGACCTACATACAGGCAATTCCATAGTGGACTTATCTATGTTCCTTTGTGGCATGCCCTGCTCTATGCGGAACCTTGCTGCTGATAATTAAACTATTTTGTTCTGGATCATGATCTCATGATCTTTGCCCAAAGACCCCAGGGAGATGGATTTTAAAGGAATATTTACATTTATATTTAATAATAGATGCCATTTACTGAATACCATCTATGTGTAAATATATATGTTATCACTACCCCTCACAATAATTCTGCAAGGTAGTAATTTTACAAGTGACAGATCTGAGACTCAGAGGATCTAAATAGTGTTCCCAAATTCTTCCAGCTGGTGAGCAGTTAAGTTCAAATTCAAACCTATTTCTGTCTAATTTCACTTTCTGCTTTTTCTGCTGTACCACATTATCTGCACAGTACTAATTTCCAGAAACTGAAATGTGTCAGAAAATAAATGACTGTCATTAAGAGCATGTGTTAATAGCACAAGGATAGCTCAGTAAATGACAGTAGCAAGGTAACTGGAAAACATTTCAACAGTCACATTTACAGATTGGTAGTTTCAAATTTACAAATGCTTTATCTTTTTCTTCCACATGTCATTATGTGCCTCATTCTGAAATCTAAGGGAGGACCTGAATGACTTTATGGCATATTTAAAGTGTTTTTGATTTTTAATTTTGAATTTGAGATTCTTGATGCTAATTTGAAAGCACACCAGAATTCCTTATTTTCTTTTTACTCCCTGACTACTAAACTTCTCACTTCTCTACTGCCAGAGTTAAGTTTCCTCTGCGGTAGCTGCTACAGAACATTGAACAGATGCCCATGACATTGTGTGTCCCTATTCCCGACTGTCCCTCCTTCCAGCACCTCTGAACTTTGTGCACTGTAGTTTTTATTCCTGGAACTACCATCTTTAGGAGAGGTCCTGGTTATAAATGGCAGTACTTGAGAGAATGAGGAGATGAGTTCTATTTAGAGGAGGTGCATTCCAAATGTATAGAAGGGAGGATGGATTTTTTCACTAGAAATAGTAATAACTGGTTGTTTCTTTTGAAATCAACTACATTCTGGGTTAAATAGCTGTTGCAGACAGTAAAGAAAGATTACAAGCTACAGTGCCAGATCTGGATTTATACTGCCTCAGGTAATAACTACAAGAACTTGGACAAGTTATTTAATTTCTGCAAACTTCAGTATCCTTATACCTATTGCTTAGAATTGTTGTGAGATAAATGAAATGAGAAATAGAGGCTTAGAGAGGTTAACTCATTTATTCAAATAATTTAGCAAAAAAAAAAAAATACTAGAATGCAGATTTGAACTGGGGTATTATGATTCCAGGGCCTTTACAATTACACTTTTCATTATATGCTGATGACTTGGTTGCTTATAGAAGGTAGAAATGCCCAGGGTCACTTCCCTTTCTTGAGTGGGTTTCTTGTTTATCTGTATGGTCCAGAATACCAAAGAGTGGTAAGAAGCACGGTCCCTTATGAGATGTTAAAAGACTACCACAAGTAGGAAGGATTTCGTCATAGAATGAGTAGAGCACATGCTTATCATCTACATGCTGTTTGGTTGATTTTAATTATATTTGGTCATAATTTTTAAATCCATTTCTTACTTGCTTTTGATAATCTATATTTTCTCTTGTAGCATATCAGAGTTATCTTTAGATTCATCCCTTCATGCCATCAATCTTCATTGCAATAACATCTCAAAAATCGAAGCCATTGATCATGTTTGGAATTTACAACACTTAGATCTGTCATCTAATCAAATAAATCGAATTGAAGGGCTAAACACACTGACAAAACTATGTACTTTAAATTTGTCCTGCAATTTGATCACAAGAATAGAAGGTTTGTAAGTGATTTTCATGTGATACTTTGCATAAGGAAGATTATTTAAGTCCACTTTTCTTCTTCCCAAAAGAATGGAATAAATATTACCATAAACTTTTGAAAACTGACCTTAAAATTTACTACATAAAAGTTTTCTTCTAGAAAAGTTAACAATTTTTTAAGTATTTTGCAAAATACCAATAAAATTGATTTCACTGTTATTGGACTATAGATTTGCTTCAAAACTGTCTGAAATAGTATTGTAATACTATATAGCTTTATTTTATCTTATTTTATTTTAGGACTTGAAGCACTAACTAATCTGACTAGACTGAATTTATCTTATAACCACATAAATGATCTTAGTGGTAAGTAGATAATCTTATGTTTTCTATAATGCTGAATGTTTGCCACATGTGATGAGTTAGGCTAAGCTCAGCATGCTGAAAACTGAATAATCCTGTTTTTGACCAAAAATACCATCTAGAGAGTCTGCTTCAGACATAATTCTTTTTTTGTTGGTGCCAAAGCTATGGCTGAATAAAAAATAGGAATACAAACTAGGTGATCAGTAACCGAAAAAACTTGGATAGAAGGGACTTCAGGAAAATAGTGTTTTAATCTTAAATAATTGATCGATATGCTATTATATAAAGAATAGTTCCAATAGAACTTTTTACAGTGATGAAAATATTAAATATCTATGCTGTCTGACACGGCAGCAAATAGCCAGATGTGTCTTTTGAGCACTTGAAATGTGGCTTGTGCAGTGAGGAACTGAATTTGTAATTTAATTTTAGTTTAAATTTACAAAGCCACAGGTGACTAGTGCTACCATATTGGATCATATAGCATATTGGACCATACTGCATTCCAAAGGCTATATTGTAAATTGACGATCAAATAATTTTCTTTTCTTTTTGACTTTTAGCAGGTCTAAGAAGGTTAAACATTTTTACCTATTTTTTAATTGATTAAAGTGATACACTGATAAACTGAACAAAGTTTCATGATAATTCTTAGAATTATCTGTTAGAACTGGCAGAATTCTTCTAATTATCATCATAATCCTGTCAATTTTTGAAAATCTTATTCATGTGTTTATTTTTCTCCCATACTAGAAAAATACTAGCCTATACCAGGTATTTAATATACAAAAAATTAAAGCAATCTACTCCCTACTGTTAAGCTGGAATAGCAAGAATATTTTAATTTTTTAAAACTTTCTCCCCCAAAGTTGTGAAAGTATTGGAATTGAGTATTAACCCTAGCTCTGTCACTGCTATGTGATGTTGAGCAAAGAATATTACTGTTTAGATGCAGTTGCCTTATCTGAAAAATGTGAATCTTGGATAAGATTGCTCATTCGTTTACTCAACAAATATTTATTGAAGATCACTGTATCAAATACTGTTCTGTAGTAATTAAAAAAACAACAAATAGATAAAGTTCTTGTCATAGGGTTTACATTGTAGTGGGGAAGAAAAGCAAAAAATAAGATCATGTCAACCCCTCAAAAATAAGCAAAAGATTTGAGCAGAGCCTTTCCCAGGAGGAAATCTAAATGGCAGATTAGTACATGAAAAAAAAAAATGTTTAGCATCTTTAGTGGTTAAGGAAATACAAACTAAAACTGTAATGAGATCTACTTCATACCTACTAGAGTAGATAGTTTTAAAACTTATAATACAAAACACTGGTGAGATTATAGAGCAGCTAGAAGTTGTACACATTGTGAGGAGAATTGAAAATGGAACAACTACTTTGGAAAACAGTTTGAAGGTTTCTTATAATGTTAAACATACACTTACCATATAATCATGCAGGCCCTCTCCTAGGTATTTACCTAAGAGAAATGAAAATATGTCTGTTCAAAAACCTGTACATGAAAGTTTATATGATTATATAGCTTTTTATATAATCATGTTTATATGATTCTTTATAATCTTCCAAAACTGGAAGCCATCCATATGTCTGTCACCTAGTAAACAAATAAATTGTGATTCATCCACATGATGGAATATTGCTTGGCAATAAAAAGGAATGAACAGTTGATATATGCAGCAACATGGACAACTCTAAGAAGAATTAGGCTAAGTGCAGGGAGTGAGACACAGAAAGATGCACTATATGATTCCATTTATATGACATTCTGACAAAGGCAAGTTACAGTGGCAGAAATTAGATCATTAGTTGCCAAGGGTTGAAGATGGGACACATTGATCGGAGTGATAGAATGTTCTGTATCGCAGTTATAGTAGTGGTTACACAACTGTATATGCTTGTTTACGTACGTTGAGCTATACACCTAAAAGGGTGCGTTTTAGTGGCTTCATATCACATTATAATAAATATGAAGAAAATAGGCAACCCTGTAAGTTTTAATAGATCATTATGAGTTCAATAAATAAAGGCAGTATATACGATAAGTGCATGCACAGACACTAAGGCACCTTCAGCCTTGTCATGATAAAGGAACAGAAAGAAGGGTAATATGGCTAGAGCATAGCAAATGAGGGGTTAGTGTGCTAAGAAAAGAGATGAGAAGGTAGGCAAAGGCCAGATCACAGCTTTATACTCGGTAAAAAGTTTGCATATTATTCTAGGTGCAATACGAAGCCATAGGAGGGCTTTAAACAAGTGACATATGTGTTTTTAAAGGATCACTTTGGTTGCTGAATGAGTGAAGAATGGATTTTAGGAGGATAGGAGTGGAAGTCAGGTGACCAGTTAGGAAGCTATTTCAGTGGTCTAGGTGAGAGATGATGGAGACTTAGACTAGGGTGGAAATAGTGTAGAGGAGCAAATGGATATATTTTGCAGGTAGAGTTCATAGGATGTGCTGATGGATTGAGATAAGGAAATGAAGAAAAAAGGAATCAAAGATAAGTTAACTGAGTTTTTTCTGTAGCGACAGGTGGATGATGGGACTGGTTCCTGATGTGGGAAAGACTGAGGGAGAAACAGGTTTAGAGATGAGGGGATGAGAAGTAAGGATTCTATCTTAAATTTGAGAACCCTGTTAGACATGTGTGTATGTATATGTGTAAGTCTCAGTTCGGGGGTGGGTTTCATGGTTGGAATTGTAGATTTGGCACATCAAAGGCCATTTCCAGGCTGTACCTTTGCTCAGAAGCTCCATTTTAAAGCGAGTTCTGAGGGAAGAAAAGAGAAACATGAAGTGCTCCAGTGGGGTAAACTGTCAGCATGCATGGCCCCTTCCACCACAGCTGCAGCTGAGGTCAGAGGCTGGTCAAGGAGACGTGGTACCAGGCACCAGTAACCTCTGCTGCAAATCTAGTTGTTAGCATTACCATGCTCTAGATAAACTCGTGTAAGAATTATTACCAGGGAACTAAATCAAATGGGTGCTATTTGTATTTTATGCTCAAACCAATAAAATTGAAGAGTACTGCAGGGTTTGCTTATATCTGCTAATCAAAAATAATGTGTTGATTGAGAGCCTGAAGCCATTGCTTTATGCTTCTCCTAGAAGTACATGCATTGACCTGGAGAGGTCCATATGTTCTGTTTGAAGAGAACCAAAGACCAGGAACCTCTGGGCTAGGGCCTCAAAAGGGATGCTAACCCTGTGTTTCTTTAAAACAACAAATATCTTTACTCATACGCTGTTTATTAGATGTAGCTGTTTACAGAGACTTCTTATTAATGCTGCTTCTTTGCCTCAAAATCTAATTTATATAAAAATTAACTTTAATTAGCTGTTGGAAAAATGACTTCAGTGGCATCAAGAGTTTTTTTTCCTTATTGCAGGTTTGATTCCCCTTCATGGAATTAAACATAAACTTAGATATATTGACCTACATAGTAATTGTATAGATAGTATTCATCACTTACTTCAGTGTGTGGTAGGATTGAACTTCTTGACTAATCTTATTTTGGAAAAAAATGGAGAAGATAACCCTGTCTGTCATGTTCCAGGTATGAGCAATTAATACTTTTTGTAACAGTTAATATTCAGAGCTCCTTTGTTTTCTGTGACTGGTGTTTATGACCCTTTTATTTGTCTTAAGCTTTTTATTATATATTTGAAAAAACATAATTGGAAATAATTTTATTAAGACAAATTGCGGTTAAGAGAGCACAGATAAATAATTCTATTTAAACAGTTTTATATTTGATAAGTGAATGCCTCAAAATTAAATTATGTTATAATCTATTCTTAAACAGTATAATAGTATGCAGCCATAAAAAAAGAATACAGAATCTTTAGCTACTGATATGTAATTATCTCCAAGATACACTGTTAATAGAAAAAAAGCAAGTTTGAAAACATTGCATATAATAGGTTACCATTTATGTGCAAAGGGTAAAATATGTGTGTGTATTTGCTGATTGTATATATAGAATATCCAGAAGGCTATACCAAAAACTGATAACAATGGCTAACTCCAGTATTAAGTAGGTAGGGATCGGGAAATGGCAGAAAGGGTGGAAAAGGTAGCTGGGAATCAGGAAATATTAGGAAAATTTTTTCCTGTATACCTTTTTAATTTTGTTTGTGAATGTGTTTAATAAATAAATGATTTTTGTAAGGAAGAAAACTTAATACGATATATTGAAGATGCTGCTGAAATGCCATTTGATCGAATTCAGAATCACTGAAGTTGGTAAATACAAAGCAGACCAGACTACTATTTCTTATTATTATCACTTATTTCAAATGACTTAACCAAGCAATAAGATACAAATGTAAAATATGAATATATATTCCAAAGATCAGCTTGGGTAGAAGGTGGCTACAGAGTTGGCTCCATTCTGTCATTAATATGCAACTGTATGAAGGCTTTTCCCAGAATGGAAACCTGTTGTGATAATTTTATTTCACAGAAGAATATAATAGATGTGAGATGAACTATTTTCCTAAGGCCATATAATATAGAGTCTACCTAAGAATCAGGAGAGACTTCAGTTTTCTGGGGAAACCCTGTTTTTGGGGGAAAAAAGCCTTATTTCTAAAACAACTTTTTTCTTCTTTTCCTTACTCACCCAAGTTGGATTTTTTCCCTGACAATTTGCCTTAAGAATCTCTGGTTCCTACAATTTGAACCTTTGTTTTTCACTTTGATTAGGTATTTCAACACGGTTGCCCTCCCCCTAGAATTAAAGGGATACTTATTACTAAAATAACCTTTCTCCTCTCAAAATTTCTCAAATTGATTTGCCAGATTCTTTCTTTTGGAGTTCTTCCAACCACTTCACTGGCCTTTGTTAGAAATACTTGGTCTTAACATTATAGTTAAGCAAAGTTAAACTGTTTCTTTTAGCCTAGACACCAAATTAATGTTAACTTGTCAGATTTCTCATATTTAATTGTACTTAAGGAAAATAAACACATTCTTGAATAGTTGATAGATTGCCTATCTTAATCTTAGTTATATCTAATTTAAGGGAGAAAGATGGGGAAGTTTAATTTACTAATACTTAAGGCCTCATTAGCAAAATTCTGAATTTCTGGTGGTTACCCACATTATCCTGATTTATATTTATACTAATTATATTTCAAATAAAAGACATGGTTGGCTTTCTGTTCAGAATAAGCTTACTGGTATCATGCATTTATAACTTTAAAGCAATTTTACAAAAGCTAAATCCAGCAATAATGATTTTTAACTTTCTGATCTTCACCAGGAGGACTATGTGGGAGGGGTGGTGGGAGTGTTTTGTTTGTTTTATACTTAACGATTACATACTAGAGAAGGACTAAGTAGCTTTTTTTTTTTTAAGAGTTTTTTTTTTTTTTTAAAGATTTTATTTATTTATTTGAGAGAGAGAGAATGAGAGAGAGAAAGCACATGAGAGGGGGGAGGGTCAGAGGGAGAAGCAGACTCCCCACCGAGCAGGGAGCCCGATGCAGGACTCGATCCCGGGACTCCAGGATCATGACCTGAGCTGAAGGCAGTGGCTTAACGAACTGAGCCACCCAGGCGCCCAGGACTAAGTAGCTTTTATTACAAGTTTATTAGTTGCATTCCAGGACTAATTTTATCATTCAGGTGATATATCTGGTAGGTGATAAATTTAGTGTATTTGAGAAATAATTAACTTTTTAATGCCTGACTTTTTATTTTGAATGATTTGTTTCCAAGGGTACAGAGCAATTATGCTCCAGACATTGCCACAGCTTAAAATCCTAGACTGCAAGAACATATTTGGTGAGCCAGTAAATTGGTCAGAAATAAATTCATCACGCCTACAGTGCTTAGAAGGTCTTTTGGATAACTTAGTTTCTTCTGATTCTCCCCTAAATATAAGTGAAGATGAGGTATGGTATTGTTTTTTTCTAATATAAAAGATACCTTCAAATTTTAATTAATGTAGACTTAAAAGATCTTGGTTTGTTTCTCTGTATCATAGATAATTGATAGTATGCCAGTGGTAACACCACCCATCGATGAGATAGCTCCCTTGGATCAGTTTGCATCACCAACAGATACTGGCTTGACATCATTTATATCTATATGTCCATCTTCTGAGCCGGAGAAAGTTAATCATGAAAACAATTTTCATAACGACATGAAACTTCAGAAATTAGATGATCAAATTTTACAGCTTCTCACTGAAGTAACTGTTTTTCCTTTATTTCTAAGCAATGTTAGTTGAAAAAAAAATAGTTGAGAAAATGTAAAATAAAAATAGCATATAAGCTAACCAACCCGAAACAATTTATAGTTAACATTCTGTTGTGTATGTATATTTTTTTCCTTTACGGAAATAGGATTCTGTTTTATAATAATAGTAGTAGAAAAAGATAACATACTTTTTTCACTCATTTTCCTTATTGTCCTTCAAATGTTTATTATATAATTCCTTTATTTTGCTGTATGTCACATTATTTCCACCCACCCACCTTTTGGCTTTGAGTAAACTCAGAACTCTTCTGACTCAATGTTTATAAATATAGAGGATACATGAGTTACTTTGGGCCTCTACTATCTTCAATTGTTTAATGATCAAAACCACTTCTAGAACTTATAGCTGCATGACAGGTTAACTTACATAGTTCCTGCTTTAATTTCTGTTTACAGCAGACCCTCACCAGATTAATCTCTACTTTCCTGAGATATTCTTTTTTACCCCTGCTACTGGTACACTGGCTTTTAGAATCTTTGAATTATGTGGATGGACTGCAATGCCTAGATTTTACTGCTATTTGGGTCTCCAGACTTTGCTGTAGCGTTCTTGACTGTGATCTACAATAACAGTTGTTTTCTTAAGCACCACACTTCTGAGAATGCAGTGGATTATTATTTAGCCCCTACCTGGATATAGGGTAGAGATACTGTGGTACAGGCCGAAGAAGCTATTAGTCAAATGTCAGTTTGACCTAGATATTTGTAATTAAATTTTAATATTCAAAATTTTTTTCTCCAAATGAGGTGGAGGTATGGAGTAGAAAATGCTAATTGTGGAATTATGGTTCAGAGAGTTTTTAATAATTCTGGACTATTATCATAGTTACAACACTAACATAACAATGCTAGATAAACAAAAAGTTTACCTTAGGGCAGTAAATGAATAAGGCTGTAAGGATTTTGTGTGCCAGAAAACCCTAGACATTTCACTTGGGCCACAGAGGTGGGTAGGAATAGAACTGGGATAAGAATGCTGGCCTATACATTCTTTAACATCATTGATAACATGTCACTGAGCTCTCCAACTTCTCCGTTTCCTCAGATTTCATCGTTCGTCTTTTCTAAAAGCTGATTCTTCTGCCAATATCAGAACTTAGGTTTAATTTTAGTAACCTGAATTTGAAGTGAACTTTTATGGCTTCTTCTATGCCATCCTCATTTCATTCTCACAACACACCAGTCAAGTAGCTAGGGATCAATATATCGTTCTTATTTTATAGAAGAGAAACTCAGGAGTTTATCTAAGCGTCCTTTAATAGTAAGAGTTGAGCTTCACACCCAAATCTCTGATATCCAGTCTGGTATTCTTTCCACCAGCATGCTTCTTAACTCAGTTATGATGATAATTCTTCCTACTTGGGCGCCTGGGTGGCTCAGTTGGTTAAGTGACTGCCTTCAGCTCAGGTCATGATCCCAGGGTCCTGGGATCGAGTCTCGCATTGGGCTCCCTGCTCTGCGGGGAGCCTGCTTCTCCCTCTCCCACTCCCCCTGCTTGTGTTCCCTCTCTCGCTGTGTCTCTCTCTGTCAAATAAATAAATAAAATCTTAAAAAAAAAAAAATAATAATAATTCTTCCTACTTTGTAACCAAAAATAGGAGTCTAGCTGTCTGGGGGAAAAACATGATTCATTTCTCTGCATAATAAAAAAATTAGGTGGATGCTAACTTGTGTGAAGGGTAAACATACAGTTTTAATTTCAGTTGATGTATATACTCAATGTTATTTCAAAAGTAGTAATTTATAAGTGAGGTCATGAAATTACTGAAAATGTGCTATACTACAATGATATTTTTCTTAACTATGGGACTTATTATTATTTCACTGATCTTGAGAGTTCTCTGTGAAGACTTTTGTCTTTTAGTTTTTCCCTACCATTTTATTATGAAATTTTCAAACTTAGAGCAAATTTGAAAGAATTTCTTCGTGAATACCAGTATATCCACCAACTAGATCCCACTGTCAACATTTTACTTTGCTTATTTCATCGTGTATCTATCCATTTATTCATTTATCAGACTATCTTATGACACATTTCAAAGTAGATTACATGCATTGGTATATTTCCTTCAAAATACTTACGCATGTATATCATTAACTATAGAGTTCAGTATTTTTTTAGCCATCTCTTTTGATGTAAAATACAGATACGTGTTTTCCCTGAATTGACAATACATATGCCTGCTACCCAACTTTTATGAAGATAAACATAACCATCATCAACATTACCTCTTCCCCGTCAGTCTTCTCCCCCAAGGCAATCACTTTCCTCCCTTTTTCACCATAGATTACTGAATGCTTCTTCCAGAACCTAATATAATATAATATAATATTGCAGGCGTACAAATATATTCTTTTGTGTAAGTCCTCTTTCACTCAGTATAACTTTGAAATCATTCCATGTTTTATATCTATTCTTTAGATCTTTTTCATCATTCTCAGCGGTAGTTTTAGTATACAAGTTTTACATATTTTTTATTAAATTTATTCCTAAGTATTTTGTTTTATAACACTGTAAATTGAAGAGTTTTTGTGGCTTCATGTTCCATGATTGCTGCTTGTTTGTGAAATACCTTTTATTTTTGTATGTATATAGCTTGGATCCTATGACTTTGCTAAATTTACTTAATAGTTCTAGTACTTGTTTTGTATTTTCCTGGTAATTTTCTACATAAACAGTTGCATGGAGACAGTTTTCCTTCTTCTCTGACCTTTATGCTGGTCCTTTTTGCTTTGTTGCAATAGCTAGAATTTACAGTGCAGTACTGAAGATAAATGGTGAGAGTGGGCACTTTTGTCTTATTCCTGATCCTTGGAGAGCCTTCTGTATTTCACAATTAAGTATGATGTGAGTCTTATGTTTTTCATAGATGTCCTTTATCAAGTTAAGGAGTTTACTTTTGTTCCCAATTGGCTGAGTTTTCTGATGTTGTTGAATTTTTTTTGTTAAATGCTTTTTCTGCATCTATTGAGATGATCATGTTTTTTTTATTTTTTACTCACATAATAGTATGAATTACATTGATTAGTTTCCAGATGTTAAACAAACATTGCATATTGGGGGTAAACCTCATTTAATCATGATAAATTATCATATATTCTTGGATTTAGTTTGCTAATATTTTATAAGAGTTTTTACAATTTGCTCATGAGGGATATTTGTTTTTACTTTTATAGTAGCATCTTTGGTTTTGATACTAGGTTAATGTTGCCTACCTAAATGAGTTGAAAACTGCCCCCTCCTCTATTTTCTAAAAAATTTTTGTAAGATTGGAATTATTCTTTCTTAAATGTTTGATAAAGTTCACCAGTAAAATTATCTGGCCCTGGAAGGTTTGTGATAATAAATTCACTCTCTTTAATAATTATAAGGCAACTCATTTTCTGTCTCATTGTGTGTTGCTTTATATAAGTTGTGTTTTATAATTTGTCCATTTCATCTAATTTGTCAACGTAAAATTGTTACTAATATTCTCTTACTATCTTTTTAATATCTGTAGGATCTGTAATGATAGCCTTTCCTTTATTACTGATAATGATGATTTGTGTCCCCTCTCTCTCTGTTCTATTTTATATATATGTGTGTGTGTATATATATATATATATATATTCTTTTGTCTTGGTCAATTTGGCCAAGGGTGGGGTACCTGGGTGGCTCAGTTGGTTAAGCGTCTACCTTTGGCTTCAGGTCATGATCCCAGGGTCCTGAGATCTCCCTCTGCCCTTCCCCCTTTCTGCTTGTCCTTGCTCTCTCTCTCTCATGCTCTCTCTCTCAAATAAATAAAATCTTTTTTAAAAAATTAGTCAAGGGGTGCCTGGGTGGCTCAGTCGTTAAGCGTCTGCCTTCTGCTCAGGTCATGATCCCAGGGGTCCTGGGATCGAGCCCCGCATCGGGCTCCCTGCTCGATGGGAAGCCTGCTTCTCCCTCTTCCACTCCCCCTGCTTATGTTCCCTCTCTCGCTGTGTCTCTCTCTCTGTCAAAAAAAAAAAAAAAAAATTTAGTCAAGCATTTTGTTTCTGTTTACAAAGATGAATTTTGTTAATTTTATCTGCTTTTGTTTTCTGTATTACTGATTTCTACATTTTATTATTTCTTCTACTTACTTTGAATTTACCCTTCATTTTTTAGCTTCTTAATGTAAGTGCTTAGATTATTGATTTTAGACCTGTCTTCTAATTTAAATTAACCATCTAAAGCAGTAAATACTTTTAAGCACTGCCTTAGCTACAGTTCACAAATTTTTATACGTTTGTTTTCATCGTTATTTACCTAGAAATATTTTCTAATTTCTCTTGTGATTTCTTCCTTCATCCAAGGAATATTTAGAACTGTCTCGTTTAATTTTCAAGTGTTTTGGTTTCTACATATGTTCTGTTAGTAACTTCTAATTTACTTTCATTTTGTCAGAGAACATTCTAGATAATTTTAGTCTTTTTAAATTTACTGGAACTTACTTTATAGCCCAGCGTGTGGTCTATCTTGGTGAATGTTCTTTGTGCCCTTGGACAGAATGTTTATTGTATACTTGTTAAGTCAGGATGGCTGATAGTATTTTCAGATGACTCATGTCATTACTGATTTTTTTATCTAGTTCTATCAGTTGCTGCTGATACTGATTTTTTAAAGATTTACTTGTCTGATTCTATAACAAAAATGTTAAAATCTCCATCTAAGTTTGGATTGGTCTGTTTCTCCCTTTAATTCTCTTAACATTTGCTTATTATATTTTGAAGCTCTGTTATTAAGCACATACATGTTTACAGCTGTTCTGTCTTCCTAATGAAGTGTTCTTCTTTGTCTTTGGGAGTGTTCTTTGTTTTGAAGCCTGTTTTATCTGATATTAATAGAACCATTTCAGCCTTCTTACGCTTACAATTTATATATAAATCTTTTTCCATCAGTCAGGGTTTTTTTAAAAAAAAACAGCTTTATTGAGCTATAATTCACTTACCGTACAATTCAATGGTTTGTACCCATTAGCAGTCACTACCATTTTCCTCCAGCCCTAGGCAGCCACTAGTGGATTTTATTTTTATATGGATTTGCCTATTCTGGAAATTTCATGTAAATGGAATCATCAATATGTGGCCCTTTGTGATTATATTCTTTCATTTAGCATGATGCTTTCAGGTTTTACCCATTTTGTAGCATGTATCAGTACTTCATTTTTTTTAATATAAGATAATCTATTGTATGGATATACTACATTTTATTCATTCTTCATTTGGTTGGTTAATTTGGGTAATTTCCACTTTCTGACTATTATGAGTAACACTGCTGTGAACATTCATGTATATGCTTTTGTGTGAACATAGGTTTTCATTTCTCTTTGCTATATATCTAGTAGTGGAATTGCTAGGTCAAATAGTAACTGTGTGTTTAACCTTTTGAGGAATGACCAGACTATTTCCAAAGCAACTGCGCCATTTTACATTCCTACCATCATTATATGAGGGTTCCGGTTTCTCCACATCCTCACCAACTTGTTATTATCTGGTTTTGATGATAGCCATCCTACTGGGTATGAAGTGGTAGCTCATGGTGCCATCCATTCACTGTTAACTTGCTATATCTTTATATTGAAGTAAGTCTTATATATAGGTGGGTCTTGTTTTTTAATTCAGCCTGGCCATCACTCCTTTTTTTTTTTTTTTTTTTAAGATTTTATTTAATTTATTTGACACAGAGAGAGAGATAGAGAGAGAGCACAAACGGGGAGTGGCAGGGAGAGGGAGGAGCAGGCTCTCCGCTGAGCAAGGAGCCTGATGCGGGGCTTGATCCCAGGACCCTGGGATCATGACCTGAGCCGAAGGCAGCCACCCAACCAACCAAGCCACCCAGGCGCCCCGACATGGCCATCACTCCTTTTGAAGAGTCCATACTCCATTGAAATTTACTGTAATCATTGATGAAGTTGGATTTAGGTATACCATTTCATTGTTTGCTTTTTGTTCACTTTTTTATTCATTTTTCTACTTTTTCTATCTTCTATTGTATATTTTTTATAATCCAATCTTAATTTGTATTTCATTCTTTAGTCATACTTTTTATTTCTGTGTGTGATAACTCTAAAAATAGACTTTTCAATACTATATTCATATAAAATGTAGAATTCTTCCTTCTATTACACTTTGTTATAGTTGCCATATGTATTTCATTGGATGCATTATAAACTCCAGAGACAGTGTTTTAATTTTTGCTTTAAAGGAATTAAAAGTAAAAAATATTTAAAAATTATTTGTATTTACCTGTATATAAATCATATATGAGGGGCACCTGGGTGGCTTGGTTGGTTAAGCATCTGCCTTCGGCTCAGGTCATAATCCCGGGGTTCTGGGATTGAGCCCCGCATCGGGCTCCCTACAGAGTAGGGAGCCTGCTTCTCCCTCTCCCTCTGCCTGCCGCTCCCCCTCCCTTTGCCTGCTGCTCCCCCTGCTTGTGCTCTCTCTGTCAAATAAATAAGTAAAATCTTTTTAAAAAATAAAAATAAATCATATATGACACTCTCTGAAGATTTAATTTCCTTGTAGTATTATTTTCCTTCAGTCAGGACTTTTAGCCTGAACTTCCTGTAGCAAATCTTGTAGTAGACATCTGAGAACAGATGCCTTTTGAAGGACATTTTTTGCTGAATATAGAATTCTATATTGACGGCTTTTTTTTTTCTTTTAGTACTGTCTCCTGGCCTCCATAGTTTTGAATGCAAGTCAGCATTTTAGAATCCTTGATTTCCTGAATATAATGTGTCATTTTTCTTTGGCTGCTTTCAAGAATTTACCTTTACTTTTGGTTTTCAGCAGTTTGGCAACATTGTGCTTAAGGATACTTTTCTTCATATTTGTCCTACTTAAGGTTTCTCTGAGTGTTTTAAATCTGTAAATTGGTCTTTACCCAATTTAGGAAAATTTTGACATCATTTCAAATATTTTTCTGTCCCATATTCCTTTTTCTCAGATTCCGCTTAGATCTTTTGATACTCTTCCACGGTTCCCTGAGATTCTCTATATCTTATCAACTTTTTTTTTCCTCTGTATTCATTTTAAATAATTTTATAATTAATTTAATAAATAATTTTGATAAACTGATCTTCAAGTACACTTATTCTTTCATCACCTCATTCTCTTCTTAAGACCAGCCAATTTTTACTTCAGGTGTTGTATTTTGCAGTTGTAAAATTTCCATTTTTTATAATTTCTTTTTCTCTGCTGAATTTTTCTTTTCATTCAAGACAGGCATATTTTATATCATTGAATATGGTTATAATCACTATTTTAAAGTTCTTATCTTTTTTATTGAAGTATAATTGATAAACAATAGTTTATAGTTTCATAGTTACATAGTTTCAGGTGTACAACATAGTGATTTGACAACTCTCTATATTATGCTCACCACAATTGTAGCTACCATCTGCCACCATACAATGCTATTACAATACCATTGACTATATTCCCTATTCTCACTTATTCCTTCCATAACTGGAAACCTCTACCTTCCAATCTCTTTCACTCATTTCGCCCACCCCTTCATCCCCTCCCCTCTGGCAACCACCAGTTTGTTCTCTGTGTTTATGGGTCTGTTTATGGTTTTTGTATGTTTGTTCATTTGTTTTTTAGATTGCACTTATATATGAAATCATATGGTGTTTGTCTTTTTCTGACTTATTTCACTTAGGAGAATACCCTAGGTCCATCCATGTTGTCACAGATGGCAATATAATTCTTTTTTATAGCTGAGTAATATACCATTGTTCTTTTCTGCTTATTTGAACATTTGGATCCTCTCAGGTTAGGTCTCCATTGATTGTGTTTTCCCTTGAGAATAGGTCATATTTTGTTGGTTCTTCCTATATTGAGTAGTTACGGAATTTATCCTGGACGTTGTGAATGTTATGTTGTGGAGACTTTAGATGCTATTATAGCCCTCCAAAGAATGTTGATACTTTTGTCATAGCAAACGTTTGACTTGCTTTCACTTAAACTATAAATTTGTCTCTTAGGCAGCAGTTCATTTTTTTAATCTGTAACTGGGCTTCCTACAGTCTATACTGTCCAATGATTCTTCAGGCCCAAAAGTCTGGTTTTTCTACCTCAGTTTTAAGACTCCCTATATACTGGGGCGCCTGGGTGGCTCAGTCGTTAGGCATCTGCCTTTGGCTTGGGTTGTGATCCCAGGGTCCTGGGATTGAGCCCTGCATCGGGCTCCCTGCTCCGCGGGAAGCCTGCTTCTCCCTCTCCCACTCCCCCTGCTTGTGGTTCCTGCTCTCACTGTGTCTCTGTCAAATAAATAAATAAAATCTTCAAAAAAAAAAAAAAAACAACTCCCTATGTACTGCTGATTGTGGTAAGCTCTCGAGTGAAAAACCATAAAAACAGAAACACCCTGTTCTGGTCATTTTTTCCATGTGTCAGCTCCTCTCTAGAATAAGCCTGCTTTTGTTCACTGTCCAAGGCCTCCAAATAGTTTTTGTTCATAGTTGTTTGTTTATATTTTTCCTAGACTTTATCATTGCTATCTTGAGAATCAACCTCATAGGAACTTGTCCATACCAGAAGCTAAATTCCTGTCTTTAATTCTGAACATACCTAGTTTATGAACCTTTAATCTTATAAAAAGTCACAATGTTTTAGGAAATTTGACATTTAAATCTTTTATACTGAACTGAACTTTTAACAAACTTTGTTGGTTTTTTATTCTAGACTTCTGATTCTTTATTAGATAATGTTCCTGAGAAAGATCTCAGACCAAAAAGAGATACAGATATGACTTCTGAAAGTGACTATGGCAACAGAAAAGAATGTAATAGAAGAATTCCTCGAAGATCAAAAATCCCATATTATTCCAAAACTATTCAGACTATTAAGCACCACAATAAAAACAACCCTTTTATGAGGTAATTGTTTTAGTTTTAGAAATTCAAATAAGGCACCCAGAAGTTAATACTGTTGGCTTGTTTCTTTAAGGTTTCTCAGAGTGATATTTCTTTTCTAATGTCAGAGATTTGACTTTTCAGCCTTGTTGACTCAAATTTGTTCAGTATATTTATATAAATTTATTCAAAAGGATCCCTTTCACTGATAGACTGTCGTTACCTCAGTTGTGAAAACTAGTATGAATACTGTATGTTTCTTTGGGTTATTACCTATGTTTTACTCTTTGCAGCTGTAATCGTAAAATGAAACCACCTTTCTTTAAAGATTTATATGTAAGATCATCTTTAGCAAACTGTAATATGTTAGAAGAATCAGAAGAACAGAAGACTGAAATCATTAAAGTAGACAACAGTAGCTCAGAAGACACCACTTATCGGGTATGATATGAGAGATTAAGGGGGCATCTGGGTGGCTCAGTCGGTTAAGTGTCAGACTCTTGATCTCAGCTCGGGTCTTGATTTCAGGGTGGTGAGTTCAAGCCCCACATTGGGTCCACACTGGGAGTAGAGCCTACTTAAAAAAAGAGGAAAAAAGATTAAGAAAAAAAATGAATGTGAATAATCTTAGTTTTAAATATGAAATTAGTCTCAGTAAAATAATGCATGTTTTTATGAGCAAAAAATATTGAATATAATTTTACTAGGGTGATAGATTGGGTTATTTTCCTCTTCCTGACTTCCAGATTTTGTATATTTTTGTAAATTGTAAAGGAATGGAAATTACACATTTATCTAAGGTCAAATTTTAGTGAAATCATTTGTTATATGTTTGTGGAGGAAAAAAAACAGATCAAAATTTTCAAGTTCTTGTTTGGTTTTTTTTGTTTTTTTTTTTTAAAGATTTTATTTATTTGACAGAGACAGACACAGCGAGAGAGGGAACACAAGCAGGGGGAGTGGGAGAGGGAGAAGCAGGCCTCCCACTGAGCAGGGAGCCCGATGTGGGGCTCGATCCTAGGACCCCAGGATCATGACCTGAGCCGAAGGCAGATGCTTAACGACTGAGCCACCCAGGCGCCTCTCAAGTTCTTATTTCTTAAAGCAGTGGTTTCAGACTTTTGGGTCTCAGACCCTCAGATCCATAGCTAAGGAAATTTATGGGTCTTCTCAGGGGAACTTTTATATACACTCAAAAAATGTGTTTAATATCAAGACTTCTGAAACCCAGTTTTGGATGCATGGATCCCGGATTAAGAGGCCTTTAAGAAAGGCACCTGGCTGGCTCAGTCGGTAGAGCATGAGACTCTTGATCTCAGGTCATGAGCTCAAGCCCCATGTTTGGCAGAGAGCTTACTTTAAAAAAACCAAACCAAAAAAAAAAAAAAAGGCCTTCAGGAATTTAAATATTCTTCAGTATTTGCCTTAATAATTCTCATGTTGTTAAGAATTTTTAGTACACGTTGATTTATATTTTTCTAATATTAACTTGCCCTTGTTTTACTTATGAAGTGCTAGTTACACTTTCAATTGTAATGTGCACTGTTCTTCCAGTCGTATAATGGGTTTTTTTAACAGTTTCAAACCTTTCATGCCATTGGTTTCCTCTCCCTGTTCTCAGGTATAGTGGCTTTAATGTTTGAAAAATAATAATTATCATTAGGACAGTAATAATAGCAGCTAACATTTATTGAGTGGCTATTATGTACCATGCACTGTTTTATATACTTTACTTTCATTAATTTAATTCTTACCACAGCCCTTTGAATTAGATAACTATTATTCCTATATTACAAATGAGAAAATTGAGGCAATGAGAGGTTCAGTAACTTTTGCAGGTTCACATAACACTATTGTTTTCTTCCAGACACTTGTTGAACAACTAGACCAAGAGAGAGAGAAGAGATGGAAAGCTGAACAAGCTGAAAAGAAACTTATGGATTATATTGCTGAACTACACAAACATGCAAATGAAAAAAAAGATATTCATAGCCTGGCTCTACTCACCACAGATAGGTAAGGGAAAAGTCTGTAAACCGAAAGATCTCTCCTAGTGCAAAGAATACTAAACTTGGATCTGGAATACCTTAGTTTACACTAGGTGTAGTAAGATCAAAAACAATGTATGTGGTTTTAGTTTGTTTTGAACTAATTTTATTTAAAGATTTAATGCTTTATAAATTTGTTATGTAAGTGAAGGATTCAGGTACACTTACTTGTGCCTTCAAGCTGAGAAGTGTTAGATCAATAAATAAGTATAATAAGTGAAGAAGAGCAAAAGACTAGAACAGGGATTGGCTTTTTTTTTTTTTTTTTTTTTGGTAAAGTGTTGGTTTCTGTGAAGAATAGGGATTGGCAAACTTTCAGCTTTGTGAGTCATATTTGGTCTCTGTTGCATATTGTTTTCTACAGTGGGTTTTGGTACCAGATAACCCAAGTTTCTTAATTCTGGTATTTCTGCTTTTCCATCTTATCCATTCCATTGCCTATTTTATCTGTTTTTTTCTGTATATATTCTCTAATACATTTTTGTCTTACTCCATTCTGTGAGAATAACAGTTTTCTGAAATTACAGTAACCTTTATCTTCTGTTTCTTGTAGGTAATTATTTCTAAAGTTATATTTTTCCTTGGGGTGCCTGGGTGGCTCAGTCATTAGGCATCTGACTTCGGCTAGGGTTGTGGTCACAGGGTCCTGGGATCAAGCCCCACATTGGGCTCCCTGCTCAGCAGGAAGCCTGCTTCTCCCTCTCCCACTCCCCCTGCTTATGTTCCCTTTCTCACTGTGTCTCTCTCTCTCAAATAAATAAATAAAATTTAAAAAAAAAATTATATTTTTTCTCAAAGGGTTACAAGACCTTTCCGTAGAGTTCTTGTTCATTTTTATCTCTTATTCTTGAATGAGCACTGTGTTTCTAGATTTAGTATTTGCCAGCAAATAAGGTTTGGGAAGTTGCTCTCAGTTCCATTTCCTGTCTGTTTATACAGTGGATAAATTCCCAATCTTAATAGATTAGTAAGTTGATATACACAGCTCCCAAGCCAATTCTCAGGTTCTTTTAGGCATTTAACTAGTAAAATTTTGTGGTACTCATGTATTTTCTATCCCCCACTACCTGTTTTTCTCATACTTTGTACCTACGTATTATAAGGAAAATTATAATACCCATCATTCTATGAGACCCTCTCAGTTATGCAAGCTATGATGCATCATTATACTATTACTGGTCCTTCTACCACCACCCACCAACTTCCTGCCTTATTTGTTTTGGGAATTGCTATCTTTGATAAAAGAAGATGCTAGACCGGGGTAAAGAAACATGATGGGTAAATTAACAATCTCTGACTACCTCATTAGGTACCTAAGTAGCTAATAGAGTGCGATAGTAGATGTATAGAGCCCCTGTGACCCTGAATCATGCAAGAGAGAGAATGCATCTTCCTTTTCTTCCTCCCAGAAAGATGTGGTTTTATGAGGCTAAGCCTGAGTGTTCTAGGAGTTGTTTTAATTTAGTTTTGTTTGCCTTATAATTGAAATTTCTCCCAGACTTTGACATGTTTTCTCTTGTTTTTAGAGACCCAAGCTGGGTAAACATAATGCCTTAGTCCATGGCCACAGTGATTGGTGCATACAGTGGACATATGAACCAAATTGGACTAATCAGAGCCTTTCCTAGAACTCTTCTAAATTGAACTAGAGGAAGATAATCTTTTCTGTTTGGTCCTCAGAGCTGTTAGAATGTGAGCCCAGGAATGTTTGTAGCTTTTTCCTTCTCTCCATCATACTTTACAAGGAACCCTACAGTAGGAGAAATGGAAACCAGCCTGTAGAGAATCACAAGTAGAGAACCCTTATGGTCTTCATGGTTTCAGTGGTCCCTCAGAATAGTGCACCCCATCCTCTGAATTGGTTATGTAGGTCAATAAATTCTCCCTTTTAATTTAGGTAGTTAAGAGTTTTTGATTGTAATCAAAGGATTTAACTGATAGAAAGCTAGGATCAGTATTTTGTGTCTGGGGAAGATACAAGGAAGTCTGAGTTGACTTCCAGTCATCTATTTATATATCATATCTCTCTTATAGCTTTATAACTGTATCCATGTCTGTTCCCTCTCCTAGATGTTGAACTCCTTGAAGGCACAGGCTTTATCTTAATCCATCTTGTTTGCTTTTAAGCCCATACCTAGCACAGTGTCTGAAACAAATTAGGTGTTCAGTAAAGTTTTGCTGTTGAATAGTAAAGTTCATATAAGATAAAGTTTCATTAATTTATATAGAATGTTTTCCCTTTGGGCAGAGTGTTAGTTTCAGGGATGGGAGAGAAGCATATTACACTGTTTTTCAGCCATTTTTACCTAATGAGTGTTTGAAACATACTTCAAATCTTCCTCTTTATTGTAACCTTTAATGTTAACTACAATTTTTATCCTTTTGTATGCATAATATATACTTAAAGCCACATTTGATTTCTGCTTTAGGCTAAGGGAAATTATTTTTAAAGAGAGAAATTCCAAAGTACAACTCGAAGTTATGGTTCACAAACTTCAAAATGAAATTAAAAAACTAACTATTGAATTAATTAAAGCAAGAGATCAACAAGAGGATCACATTAGACACTTAAGAACCCTGGAAAAAGCATTAGAAAAAATGGAGAGGCAAAAAGGGCAACAGCAAGCAGCACAGGTACTTCTCTCTTTTGATCTATCCGTCATATGAATTAACACAAATTCATAGTTTTATCTTGAAACAAATTATATTGTTACAGAGTAAACTTAAAAGATATTAGGGTATATGCAAAAATTCATTTAAATGTAACAATTCCTGTGGAATTCTTTCTTTTCTTTTTGAAGATTTTATTTTTAAATAGTCTCTACAGCCAACATGGGGCTCGAACTTACAACCCCAGGATCAAGAGTCGCATGCTCTACCAACTGAGCCAGCCAGGACTGACGGACACACACACCACACTGCGCCCCCCCCGCCACCTGCCCCCACCTCACTGTGGAATTACTCCTGACTAGCCCTCACAAAGCAGTTATAAGAACAGTTGGTGGAAATATTGTAGGTGATTAGGGTTGTATTATGAGAGCCGGGTTTTAAAAGTCTTTAGGGAGCCTGAAGATTTCATTTTCATACTTTCTGAGTGGAAATTATTGAGATCTATGATGTAATTAAGCTATAGATAATGCTAGTGTGTTTGATGCTTCTAAGGCTATATTTTATGGGACCGTAGCATCATTAATTTAATAAATTTTGAAAATCAACTTAGTCACCAGTTCCTATTGAGAAGGCACTTTTCTTTGGAGAACTGGCATTAAAGTAGAAGCAGGGAGAGTATTCTCTAAATACTGTAATTGTGTATATTTACTCAGATGCGACTTATCCAAGAGGTGGAGCTCAAAGCTGCCGCTGCTGATACAGAAATAAACTTACTTAGAACTTCTCTTCATCAAGAAAAGGAACAAGTACAGCAACTTCATGAACTTCTTGCATTGAAAGAACAAGAACACAGGTAAATGAAAGATATATCAGGGAAATAATGACTTTTTTTTTTAAAGATTTATTTTCATTTGAGAGCACGCTCGTGCGTGTACATGCACATGTACACAAGTAGGAGGAGGGGCAGAGGGAGAAGCAGACTCCCCACTAAGCAAGGAGCCAGTCGTGGGGCTCAGTCCCAGGACCCTGGGATCATGACTTGAACCGAAGGCAGATACTTAACTGACTGAGCCACCCAGGCGCCCCAAATAATGACATTTAAAAATAGAAAAAGAAAAGTTTCTTCTCCCTACCCTACTCCTTTACCTAAAACTAGACTGATTGATCAGTGGTGAAATCTAACAATTAGTTTGTGAAAAATAACATGTTTATGTATGCATTAAAATCAGTCTTACATTAAGAACTAGTAGCTTAAAAACAAATAGCTGGCTTTCTTGAGGTAAGAGCTTATAACAATGAAGCTTATTTTGTATTTTTCCAAACCCAACCAAAAATGGGTCATTGTAATACAGAGAAAACTGTTTTAATTGACCTCCTAGTAACTACCTATTAATCAATAGTCTTTATTCTCTGAGGTGCCGGAGTCAACAAACTTTTTTTATGAAGGGCCAGATAGAAAATATTTCAGGCTTTTCAGGCCATACCAAACTATATTTTTGTAGTAAAAAAAGTAGCCATCGGAAATATGTAAACAAATGGGCATGGCTGTGTTCCAGTAAAAGTTTATTTCCCAAAAAGAGTCTCAGGCCAGATTTGGCCTATCAGTTGTAGTGTGCCGTACCTGTTCTGTGGAATCCACAATAATTTGAACACTTGCAGCTAGTTATCTGCTTACTGCCCTACCAGTTGAATTGTGTATCTGCCATGGGTTAATTGTGTTTGTTCCAAAAACCTGTTTTGTTTTTACCCTTACATAAATGAGTTTTTTAATTATAAATTAAATTTTGATGTTCTGGGGAAGATTGTCATCATATGCAGGGGCAGAATGACTGTAATAAAGACTGGGGGAGATAATTGTAAAAATTAAAATTTTGCACTGAGTTTCCTTTACAAATATATTTTAACTTCTTGTTCTAGTTTAAAGAAACCAAAACTAGAAATAATGGATTTTGTATTACGGGTTTGACTTACTCAGGAAAAATAGTGGAGAACTCTAAAGAATGAACTCACATTTAAATAAAAATAAACTTGCCCTGTATATCAAAAGATTGGTGAATAATTTCACACTTTAACTGATTTTTTTTCTATTAACCAACCACCAGTAACAGTCAGACTGTATTAGTTGTATATCAAAGATTCAGCCAAAGTAGAGGATATAGTGAAGTAGAATTTGACTTCTACAAATGCACCTAAAGAATTTTAGAAGCCATACAGTGACTCTGGACTATCTCAGTTTAAATATGGCATACTCCTTTTATCCCCATCACCACTGAATATACAATCAAATGAAACTCATATTCTTCCTCTACCATCCTGTGCCAGTTTCTTTGCTCCAAAGTTAGGAGCTGATTTTAAATTACAAATAGAGAATATACACTATTTTAACAACTATTTAAAGAAAGTTTTTCTTTCCAGGTGAAATAGCATCCTGTGATTTTTATTTGTTTTTGCATTCCAGGAAAGAACTTGAAACAAGGGAGTTTCTCAGTGATGCTGAGTTCCAGGAAGCCTTAGCTAAAGAAGTAGCTAAAGAAGAAAGAAAGCATGAGCAAGATGTAAAAGAATACCAAGAAAAAATTGATATATTAAACCAACGGTATATGGATTTAGAAAATGAATTCCGTATTGCTCTGACTGTTGAAGCCAGAAGATTTAAAGATGTAAGAATTGGCATCTAGCTTTTTATTGAAAACAGCATCAGCAAGATATGTTTGGATGAGAAGACTATACTTTAGAATTCTAGCTCTATTTACACATTGGCTATATGATTTTAAGCAAATTACTTAAATTCTTAGCACCTTAGTTTCTTCACATAAATAATAGCTACTCTTCAGTGCTGTTGCAAAAACTAAGATTATAAATGGTCAAGTAAAAGCACTAGAATTGGGCAGCCTGAATTCTTCTATTACTATAGAGCAGGGATTGGCAAACTAAAGCCCCTGGGCCTATTTTTTAAATAAAGTTTTATTAGAACAGCTTACAGAAACAAATAGTTTCTAAATATTTGGAGAACTGCTATTTATAATGCAATTTTGAAATATAGGTTAAAGATGGTTTTGAAAATGTTGCAACTGAGTTAGCAAAGAGCAAGCATGCTCTTGTTTGGGCTCAACGAAAAGAAAATGAATCTTCCTCTTTAATTAAAGATCTGACCTGTATGGTGAAGGAGCAAAAAATAAAACTTGCAGAAGTTTCGAAATTGAAACAGGAAACAGCAGCAAATTTACAGGTAAAACATTGTAACATTATATTTTCTTTTTAATTTTTTATGTCATAGTCTCAAGTATATCCTGACAATTTTAGGAAGTAACACAATTACAAACTTCTAATAATGCTAATTATATATCTGAGGTGTATGAGAAAAGTAATATAACTAGGGGATTAAACCATGATTTCACAGATTGTATTGCTTACACTAAAATAGTATTTAAGTAAAATAAGTGAATTTAAGAAGTGTACTAAGAAAATAGGTGCCAGTTGTACAGTGATAACAGCAAAAATTGTGATGGTGATACTCAGATGGTAACCTGAGTTTGGGAAACACCACGCGAATTGCTGATAATTTTGTGGTGGTCATGGTTATTTTAGATATACCTAGCTGTAATAATTTTTAAATTTTTTAGTGTTTTTGCCTCAATTTCAAACATTAGTGGTATTTTGCCCAAAGGAACTTAATTCCTGAAAGTGTCCTTTAGATTATTGATATAAATGCTTGATGAGAAATTTTGAGTATTCCATGTGTAGTTACTCTTTTAAGATACTGTTACTAGAATAAAATTCAGAGATTTTAAAGGGATAGTCTCTTAAATTTTGACGTTTTATTTTACGACCTATATCGGTCTCTAATAAAATTAAAACTTTTTCTATTGTAAAATTTAGGAGCATTTACTATGCATTTATTTGCTTAAACATTTTTTCTCGTAAAATGCAAAAAGTAAAAAATAAGCACTTAAATGTAATAATTACTTTGCTTTCCTCCCCCCCAATGTTTCTGGGGATGTACAGAATCAAATCAACACCCTTGAAATCTTGATTGAAGATGACAAGCAGAAGAGTATTCAAATAGAACTTCTCAAGCATGAAAAAGTCCAGCTTATTTCTGAGCTAGCCGCCAAGGAATCACTAATTTATGGTTTGAGGACAGAAAGAAAAGTATGGGGGCATGAGCTGGCACAACAGGGTAAAATTTTCAAATTTTCAAAGCGAAAATAGCCCATTCTTCTAAATCAACAAATCTGGGTATTGAGAAAAGGAGGGGCTTATTAACTCTGCCTAAGACACACCAAAAAAGAAAGTGATACTTTATATGGAAGGATAAGTAGGTACAGCCAAGTGAAATGCCTCCTAAGATGTGAATTTATGACACGAGTTAGGAAGTTACAGCTCTGATTTTTTTGTTGTTGTTGGTTTTCTTCCCAATATAATTTGGCTACTTTTCTGAACAGGTCTACCTTTACAGTGCTACAACTAAGTCATTGAAAGAATTCTTTCTTATACAGTGCTTTTAAGTTATTTGTATAGTACACAGTACTCAGTTTTTTCTAAAAATGTTGGTGACACTTATCTTGTTATGCATGGAGAAATGTGAGATAGTGTATGAATGAAAACCACTTTAGGTTTAGGTTAATTTACTCTTAGTCTCCTTTCTTTTCCCGTCAACTATGAAGCAAGAGGTAGACACAGTTTTCTGGCATTTGTAGATAGTTTACAAATTATGAATAGCTAGATGTTGGTTTTAATGGAGAATTGCTTATTTGTCCATTACATATAAGAATCTTGAATATGATTTTTTTGTTTGAATGCCATAACTTCACCAATTAAATACTACATGTCTGAGTTACTTGTTCTTGATTTGGAATTTTAGGTTTTCCAAATAACCATGGGTGTTTAAAAGACCTTTTAGTTCTCTTCCCCTTTCCTTTCTGTTACGCTTTATATTGTTTTTTAATTCAGTTTTTCTTTTTATTTACTGTATTACATATTGTTAAATTAGATGTTCATAAAATACAAATCTTCCAAGGTCTTTTAAAGTTTGTTACTGCTGATGTTTATTTCTCAGGATCATCTCTAGCCTTAGATCGTGGGAAATTAGAGGCACAAATTGAAAGTTTATGTAGAGAGAATGAGTCTCTGAGAAAGGCAAATGAATGTGATAATGATGCATTAAGAATTAAGTGCAAAATCATAGAAGACCAAACTGAAACCATTGGAAAATTAAAAACTGTAAGTTTGATACTTTATTTTGGGAAAAGAGCATGTGGCAGATTTGTAAACCAGTGGATCAAATTAGCAAATAAATATCTATCTCAATGAATCCAAGCTGTTGTGGAATTTGGGACAGATTGTCATGTGTTTCCTTGTATGAAATATGCCCTTTGCCTTTTAAAAGGACTGTATGGCTTTTACTTATTAATTTTAAATTACTTTTACCTCAAAATTTTATGGGATGATGTTATTATGGCCTGTGAAATAACTGAAAATAGTGTCAATAAAGGGTTAGGAATCTTAAGAAAATTCCTGTTTTATATGTTTAAAATATCCTTTTAGAGCACTGTTTAGGATGTTCCAGTATTGCTAAATCACATCTCAAAATGATGACAAAACCAGCTATTCTATATTTAAAAATAAATTTCCCAGGGGAAACCATTTTTTTACCCTCTTCTTCAATATGGCCTATCTTTTTTTTTTTTTAAAGATTTTATTTATTTGACACAGAGAGAGAGATAACCAGAGCAGGAATACAAGCGGGAGAGTGGGAGAGGGAGAAACAGGCTTCCCGCCGAGCAGGGAGCCCGATGTGGGGCTTGATCCCAGAACCCTGAGATCATGACCTGAGCTGAAGGCAGACACCTAACGACTGAACCACCCAGGTGCTCCAGTATGGCCTATTTTTTTTTTTTTAAGATTTTACTTATTTGTCAGAGCGTGCACACGCGAGAAGGGAACACAAGCAGGGGGAGCAGCAGGCAGAGGGAGAAGCAGGCTCCCCGCTGAGCAAGGAGCCCGATGCGGGACTCGATCCCAGGACCCCGGGACCACGACCCAAGCCGGGGGCAGACGCCTAACCAACTGAGACACCCAGGCATCCCCCAATATGGCCTATCTTAAGAGAGATACTAACAGGATTGTTTGCTTCAAAGTATGTTACATGAAAAATTTCCAGAGGAATTTTTTTAGTTATCTTGAGCACTGAATCAAATTTGATCTCTAAATTTTTCTCTGAGGGATTATCTCTTAAAATATAAAAATGAAGAAAAGAGTTAAGAAACTGCTAAATGAGATTACCACCCATTAACTCATTCTTCAGAGTAGCTATAATGGCCTAAGATTTATTTTTCTTTTTCTTAGTCACTTTTTAAAAAATTCCTTGAGAACTTTATCAAGTACAGAAAATCATCATTTATCACAATGTTGCCATATCCATAGCTAGATTTAGGC